GTTGATGACGTTTTGGTTACAGGGAGCTGCCCTCAGCTTATTCTATAGACTAGATGTGATCTGCAACTCAAGTTTAAGATGAAGGATCTTGGTGAGCTCAAATTTTTCTTGGCATTGAGTTTGTGTGACGACCCAAAGGGTCATTACCTGTTTTCTCTTTCATTCCGTGCTTCCGAGACCTTGAAAACCTCATTTTTACTTGCCTCGATTTGCGTGCACAGTCCGAGCGTGTAGCCGGAAAGCTTAAATATGAGTTCTGTGTGAAAAATGATGAATTTTGATATTAATATGATTAAAGTTGACTTTGGTCAACATTTTTGGTAAACGGACCCGGACCCGTGATTTGACGGTCCCGTAGGGTTCGTAGAAAAATATGGGACTCGGGCATGTGCCCGGAGTCGAAATCCGAGGTCTAGAGCCCGAGAAATAAATTTTTCTGTGAAATTATTTTTCTGAAATTATTAAGGAAAATGGAAATGAAAATTGATTAAAAGACTGTGGTATCGGGCTCGTATTTTGGTTCCGACGCCCGATAGAAGTCTTATATAAGGTTTAAGCGCTTTCTCTGAAATTTGGTTGAATTCGGACGTCATTTGACGTGTTTCGGACCTAAATATCTAAAAATGAAAGTTTATGAAGTTTGATGAAAAAGTGATGATTTCGAGGTTTGATTCCTCGTTTATGATGTTATTTTGGCGATTTAATCGCATGGTTAAGTTCGTAGGATGTTGTTGAGTTAGTGTGTGTGTGTTTGGCTAGGAGCCCCGAGGGCTCGGGAGTGTTTTGGAGGTGTGTTGGAGTGGTTTTTGAACGTAGAAAGTTGCAGAAAAATCTGGTATTTGTGCACAGGGATTTCCTTCTTCGAGATCGCGCCCTTCCTCTCGCGTTCGCGTAGTACTGAGTCTTCCTTCTTTGCGTTCGCGTCTTGGACCTCGCGATCGCGTAAGCCAAAAATAGGAGCCCAATAATTTCCTCTTTGCGTTCGCGTTCCACCGTCCGCGAACGCATAGCTTTGCTGATCCCTTCAGCGCGTTCGCGTGCCCCTCAACGCGTTCGCATAGAACAAACCTCGGACCCCCAGTACATTCTTTCTACGCGTTCGCGCTTGACTCCACGCGTTCGCGATGCTTACCCGGTTTACCCTTCGCGAACGCGACCCCCTTCACGCGAACGCGAAGGGCAATTTTGCCCAGTGATTTTAAATACCCCAAAACAAAACATTGACGGGATTTTTCACCCAAAACACACGAACTCATCTTCTCCACAGCCCATAGGCGATCTTTAGAGCTCTTCTTCACCAAAGCTTCTTGAGTAAGTATTATCTAACTCGTTTTCTTCATTTTCTATCATCATTTATCAAATTCCTAGACCTAAAACATGTAATTTAGGGTGTAAATTAAGGGTTTTGGGTAGAGTTAGGTTTTTGAGAATTTTGGGTGATTCAACCTCAATTTGGGGTCAAATCTTAAAACAAATCGCATATTTTAACTCGTGGGGTTATGGGTGATCGAGTTTTGGTCCGAGCCTCGTGTTTGGCCCATGTGGGCCCGGTGTCGAATTTTTGTATTTTTGGAAGAATGTTAGGAAATTCATATCTAGGCTGTGGGATGTTGCCTTTGAGTCTTTATTGATATTATTGAATTAATTATGCCTAGATATCATTGTTTCGGAGTCGGATTATAGAGGAAAGGCGGTATTTGAGGATTGATTGCTATTCTTTGGACCGAGGTAAGTGTTTGATCTAACTTTGGCTTGAGGGAATAGGATTAGGGTGTTGTTTGCTAATTGCTAAATGTAGAGTACGGTGTATAGGCATGGTGACGAGTATCTATACACCGGTGTCTAGCATGACCGTGGGTCCTTGTTTGTACTTATTCTGATATTGTTACGACTCTTCCATGTTAATTGATAAATCCTATGTATTGTGAAGAGTATGAGGGTTGATTGTGAATTGTAAATTCTTTGGAGCATTGGATCGAACAATAAAAAGACTATTGAGTAAGAAATGAAGGAAAACAGAAAGAAATATGATTAATCCCTTGCCGGGACATTTCTTATTATTTGTCTATCCCCCCGCCCCGTTTGGTTGTGATTGTTGTTTGGGTGAGGAAGAGTGATTATGCACGAAGGGTCATTCCGTGCCATGTTTTGATTATATTTGCACGAAGGGTCATTTCGTGCCATGTTTTGAATATTTATGCACGAAGGGACATTCCGTGCCATGTTTGATTATATTTGCACGAAGGGTCATTCAGTGTCATGTTTTGATTATATTTGCACGAAGGGTCATTCCGTGCCATGTTTTGAATATTTATGCACGAAGGGATCATTCCATGCCATGTTTGATTATATTTGCACGAAGGGTCATTCCGTGCCATATTTTGAATATATTTGCACGAAGGGTCATTCCGTGCCATGTTATGAGAGTTATGTGAGGGAAAGCACGAAGGTTGATGCCGTGCACTTTATTTGATTGTTTTGGTAAGTACGAGAGTAAAAGCACGAAGGGTGATGCCGTGCACTTGTCTTTTATTTTCCTGATGTTTTTGCTGATAATTGAGTTACGTTGTCCTTTACTTCTATTTATTGATTTTCTTGTTGTTATCGGTTCAAGTGCATTAGTTGTCTTATTCCGCTATTACTGAGTTTCTTTATGTTGGCATTTTTCTTTATTGTGTTACTTGTCATTACTTGTTTTCTTCGGTGAGTCATAATTATTGTGTACTTGTTGTCTTATGAATTTGTATAAATTGTTGCGTTTGTTGGAGTAAATTTCATTTGGAAGAACTGTTGATTTAATGAAATGGGAGCGGGTGGTATGCCTACCACGGAAACATTGAGAAATGGGATCGGGTTGCACGCCTGCAACGAGATGTGTACAGACAGTGAAATCTGCTTTTATCCTCCTTATCCGTGTTGGAGATAATTTATTGATGTTCCTTATTATTCTCTTTAATTTTCGTATTATCTGCTATCCCCGAAGCATGTTCCCTTCCCATTTAAAATAGTTATTATTGTTATTTTCCCGCTGTAGATATATATTTATAACTGCACAGGTTTATGTGATAGTCCTGTCTAGCTTCGTCACTACTTCGCCAGGGTTAGGCCAGGCACTTACCAGCACATGGGGTCGGTTGTGCTGATGCTACACTCTGTGCATTTTTTTGCACAGATCTAGGTGTTGGAGCAGCATTTGAGTAGCAGTAGCATTCTGGGAGCGAGCTTTCAGTCCAGGGCATTCGAGGTAGCCTTGCTGACGTCCGCAGGCCCGGAGAACCATATTATTCTACGGACCCNGCTCGAACGATAAAAGACTATTGAGTAAGAAATGAAAGAAATAGAAAGTGATGTGATTAATCCCTTGCCGGGATGGTTTGAGTATGTTGATTATCTCCCTTGCCGGGATGTGGAAGTTATTGTTGTTGCTCCCTTGCCGGGATTTGTTGTTTAATTGTGTTTTTTTCCCTTGCCGGGACATTTCTTATTATTTGTCTATCCCCCCGCCCCGTTTGGTTGTGATTGTTGTTTGGGTGAGGAAGAGTGAATATGCACGAAGGGTCATTCCGTGCCTTGTTTTGATTATATCTGCACGAAGGGTCATTCCGTGCCATGTTTTGAATATTTATGCACGAAGGGACATTCCGTGCCATGTTTTGATTATATTTGCACGAAGGGTCATTCCGTGCCATGTTTGATTATATTTGCACGAAGGGTCATTCCGTGCCATGTTTTGATTATATTTGCACGAAGGGTCGTTCTGTGCCATGTTATGAGAGTTATGTGAGGGAAAGCACGAAGGTTGATGTCGTGCACTTTATTTGATTGTTTTGGTAAGTACGATAGTAAAAGCACGAAGGGTGATGTCGTGCACTTGTCTTTGATTTTCCTGATGTTTTTGCTGATAATTGAGTTACGTTGTCCTCTACTTATATTTATTGATTTTCTTGTTGTTATCGGTTCAAGTGCATTAGTTGTCTTTTTCCGCTATGCTGAGTTTCTTTATGTTGGCATTTTTCTTTATTGTGTTACTTGTCATTACTTGTTTTCTTCGGTGAGTCATAATTATTGTGTACTTGTTGTCTTATGAATTCGTATAAATTGTTGCGTTTGTTAGAGTAAATTTCATTTGGAAGAACTGTTGATTTAATGAAATGGGAGCGGGTGGTACGCCTACCATGAGATTTAATGAAATGGGAGCGGGTGGTACGCCTACCACGGAAACATTGAGAAATGGGATCGGGTTGCACGCCTGCAACGAGATGTGTACAGACAGTGAAATCTGCTTTTATCCTCCTTATCCGAGTTGGAGATAATTTATTGATGTTCCTTATTATTCTCTTTAATTTCCGTATTATCTGCTATCCCCGAAGCATGTTCCCTTCCATTTAAAATAGTTACTATTGTTATTTTCCCGCTGTAGATATATATTTATAACTGCACAGGTTTATGTGATAGTCTTGTCTAGCCTCGTCACTACTTCGCCAGGGTTAGGCCAGGCACTTACCAGCACATGGGGTCGGTTGTGCTGATGCTACACTCTGTGCATCTTTTTGCACAGATCTAGGTGTTGGAGCAGCATTTGAGTAGCAGTAGCATTCTGGGAGCGAGCTTTCAGTCCAGGGGCATTCGAGGTAGCCTTGCTGACGTCCGCAGGCCCGGAGTCCCTTTCTATTTTATTCTGTTTGTTATCATTTGTACCGAAGCAGACAGTCTCATGTTTCATTCAAACCTTGTATTTAGTATTCTCTAGACGTTCGTGAGTATCGTGACACCAGTCTTGGGTAGAGGATTTTGTTAAACTTCCGCATTTCTTTTAATTAATCATATTTGAGACTTCCGCTATTTATTAAATGCTTTATTGTTCCTAATATTGTCAAAGTTCGTTAAAAGAGGTAGTTGTTAATTGGCTTGCCTAGCTCCCATTAGTAGGCGCCATCACGACTCCCGAGGGTGGGAAATCCGGGTCGTGATAGTTTGCTAGATAAAGGGAGGGTATCATCATGAATCAGAGAAAATATGCTCTAGAACTAATTGCTGAGCTAGGACCTGGAGGAGCTAAACCTGCTAGTGCTCCATTAGAGCACAATCAAAAGCTCACCTCTGCAGAATATGACAGCTTCATCAACACTCAAAGCACAGACAAGGACAATGCAGATACAGATCATCTGCTACCTGATGCTAGCCAATATCAAAGGCTAGTAGGGAGGCTTCTATATTTGACATTGACCAGAGCAGACATTACCTTTGTTGTTCAGGCCTTTAGCCAGTTCATGCATAAGCCCAAGCAATCTCATAAGGAAGCTGCACTAAGGGTAGTAAGGTACATCAAGAATGCACCTGGTTTAGGACTGCTGATGCCTTCTGAAAGCTCTGGGAAACTAAGAGCCTACTGTGACTCAGACTGGGGAGGCTGTTTGCAGACTAGAAAGTCTGTTACAGGCTATCTAGTGAAGTTTGGAAATGCGTTAGTCTCTTGAAAGTTAAAGAAGCAAGACACTGTGGCAAGGAGTTCTGCAGAAGCAGAGTTCAGAAGCATGGCCTCAGTGGTGGCTGAATTAACCTAGTTAACAGGATTATACAAAAAATTAGGAGTGGAGGTTGAAGTGACTATTGATCTATACTGTGACAGCAAGGCTGCAATCCAGATTGCAGCCAACCCCATATTCCACGAACGTACAAAACACATTGACATAGATTGTCACTTTGTTAGAGAAAAAGTTATTCAAGGATTGGTAAAGACACGCTGTGTCTCTACAAAGGACCAACAAGCTGATCTACTAACAAAAGTCTGGGAAAGCCACAATATGATTATTTACTATCCAAGCTGGGGTTGAAAGATGTGTTTCATCCATCAGCTTGAGGGAGGGTGTTGAAGAATCAAATATGAGCCATAACTGTCAAGCAGCCGCTCCATCTCATTCTGTTAAGCAATTAGGATTTTAGGTCACAGCTGTCGCCAGCTAAGTTAGTAGAAGAAGTTAGTTAGATTGTACATGTATATATACATAGCCTCTGTACAAATGTAGATAGGTAGATTTTATTGTACGAAATGAGTTATTTCTTCTTTGCATTGCTCAGCTTTCATTTCAGCTCTCTAACTCGATCAACTAGTTCTAGATTACAACAATCTTTACACTTCCCCTTCAACAACAACAACAACAAACCCACTATAACCCATAAGTAGGCTTTCGGGAGGGTAGTGTGTACGCATACCTTACCCCTACCTGGTGAAGGTAGAAAGATTATTTCCGATAGACCCTCGACTCAAGAATACAATTCCTCTTCACATTTAGTAAAAACGTTTGAACTTGAAAATCTTAAAATACCGAGAGGAGCTAGGGGTTTGATCTCTGAGAGGAAGCAAGTCATCGATCAATCCACAGTTTTATGACTGCAGTTGGAGGTAATTCGAAAGCATCTAATTTTTACTAATTCTTTTATATCTATTACATCACAAGTGTTGTCGTATATGGTTATGGTCGAATATGCCATTTCAAGTTACTTTAATGCATCAATTGATTATGCAACGCAACCAAAAAAAATGTATTACTATTAGCTTTTGAACGAGAATATAAAAAATAGTTTTTTATTTGCATGCAAAGTAAGTTGGAAATGCTTGTGAAAATTGGAAAAGAACATTCTTTTATAAAGTTTAAAAAAGAACATTCTTCTATACATCCAGCGTCAGGGCTTCCAGTAGTAGCAAGTTTATCCCACGAAAATTGCGAGTTTTCTTAAAACCGATCCTTATAAAAGGAAAAAGAGAAGAAAAGAATGTGACTCTCTCCAATTTCCTTGCATATATAAAATTGTGATTGAGCTGTATTTGAACGGGTTAAAATAAAGAAAAAATCTCACTTTATACCCATTAATTCTAAACTATTTACCTTTTAATGCCCACACCCAAACTATTTACTACTCCTACCCATGGGGTCCAAATTATTTATCCGGTTGAAATGAAATAGAACTGGAAGAAACTTGGTAAGCAGAACAATACCGAATATAAATTGGAGAAGGAAGTCAGCACGAGAGGGTTGGTGCTTAGAGCTGTAAATGGAGTTTCATTCTTCCTCTATTTTCTTCTTCTCCTCTAAACCCATTAGTTTTCTAGAGTTAACACTTGAATTCGTTTCCATTTCTATTATGGGGTTTAATTCTAAAATGATTTTCTCTTATTATAGTATTTTAGGGTTCATCATCAATGGCAATTCACACTTATTTCTCACTAATACCTTCTTCTTTCTCTTCACCCAAACTCGTTTTTGGAGATTTATTGCACAAAAATTCAAATCCACCATTGAAGGACCTTGAAGCTTGAAACTCATAACTTGGTTTGTTTGAGTTTTTAATTATTTTGATCCGATCCTATATGGGTTTGTTTGGAAAGTTGATTGGAGGTTGTAGCTAAAGTTTTAGTCAATTTGGTGGAGATTTTGTAGTAGATTTTAGAAGTTGGTTGAAATATAGCTGAACAAGAGAAGAAGACGAATTTGTATTGTATACTCAAATAGTATACAAATATACCATTTTGGTATACAATTCATTCCAACTATATACCCTATTAGTATAGCTATATACTATATTGGTATCATATGCTAGTTGAATCATCTTTTGGTTGTATTAGCTGCATTTATTAGTACAATATTTGATTTTCTTTTAATAATAGTAATATAGTTCAATATCTTGAAATACTTTATTACATTAATATGTGGTATACTATTTTTTTTTTTATTTTTCTCTTTATGCATGTGTATTATGTCATAGTAGTATAGTCATATAGTTGCCGAAAATTAACCAGTAAAACTGTATACCATGTTGATATAGTCATATGCCATATTGGTATCATATGGTAGTTTGAACATTTTTTTTGGTTGTGTTTGGCTGCATTTTAAAGTGAATTCTATTCTGAAATTATTTATATGAACGTGATTTGCAATGCTGGAAAATTTTTGTGCTTATGGATATAGATTATGTGTATTATGTAACAGTTTTTATAATTATAGGCAATTGTTGGAACGACCCATACAACTATATACCCTGCTAGTATATGGAATGAGCAAGTTGCTTTGCGAATATTTAGCTTGCAATGCGAGCATGTAATTTTCTCATACTTTTATTGTATCCTTTAATGTTTTGGTACAGTAGTATAGTCACAGATAGTTGTAGCAATATTCTAGAGCAATCATATGCTCTGTTGGTATACATGTATACCATATTGGTATCATGTGGTACTAGAAGTCTTTTTTGCTACTTATATTTTTAAGCATTTTCCAATATTTTATTATCATTTCTATTCTAACTAGTATATATAGAGATTTAGTGGCCGTAGATTATATTGTCTTGCTCCATCACTGGTTGGTGTTACTGCTAATGGTAGAATATGTACTAATATTTGTAGGGAAGGAGATTACTGCTAATTGTCGTTTAACCTATTGTTAATTACCTAACTATCATACCGAACTAGAATTGGTTAAATAATCTATCATACTCGGCGGATCTGAAATATTGACCGATCATATATGGTTAGAAACTTGGGCAAGTAATATGGAGAGTAAAAATTCCTATCTTTTTTTTTGGAATTTTTACCTCATATAGCAAAGGTTAACACCTTATTTATTTTAAATAAATACCATTTAAGAAAATTATATTCTATAGATGCCTTTTAATGTTTATAGCAAAATATCTAATTTTGGTTACCTCCTACCCCTAAGCCACTAAATACGCTATTCAGTTACACTATTTTCTTTCTCTCTCTACTTTGATACATGCCATTCTCTTCCCCATTCCCTGAAAACACGATGCTCAATCTCAACAAAGATCTTGCCTCCAAAAGCCCAAGCAATACCAAGAATACCAATGCCGCCACATATATCGCCGCCATCTTTAGTATCCGACTGATGCTTGTACCCAATTACAGTTATTAACTACCTTTGTGGCATGTGTAATTTTCATTCTCTATCTTCGTCGACAGAAGAAAAGTGATGCTGGTTCGTCTTTGATCTCCAGTAGCATCCTTTCTTATCCCTCCTCAATAAGGGACCCTGAAAAGGCTTCACACTATTTCGGAATTCACGTATTTGACTACAATGAACTGCAAGAAGCCACAAGGAATTTCAACGAAGTTCGGGGCTTTTGGTGGCACTATCTCCAGTAGGGTTTGTTCTTGAACAAAGACGACGGAGGTTGGGGCTGAGCAACTTGATTTTCTGTTAATATATTTCAATATATTTTTAACGTATCACGCTGTATTTTTATGTATTTCATTGTATTCATTGTCTTTTTTTTCATTGTAATTCAATGTATCTCACTATATTCCATGTATTTCATTGTATTCGCTGTCTTTTTTTCCAATTGCATTTCAATGAACCCGCTGTACTCTATGTATTTCCTTGTATTCACTGTCTCGCTATATGCCATGATTGTATTCGTATATTTTTTTAATTAATATAATTTATGTATTCAGATGTATTATATAATTTATCTGAAGATTGCTATGTTTTTGGGGTATTTTTCGGTTGAGAATCTTTTTCATAACTGGAAATACAAAATGTGTGTGTTATAATTGAGTTTGTTGGGTTATATTAGGAGTCTATTATGTTAATTGATTCACTTTCCGTTTAAAAACAGTGTAATCCCCTGTTTCACGCCGTGAATACAGTCGAATACAATAAGCTGTCCAGCTGTAATCCCATGTTTCACGCCATGAATACAGTCGAATACACTCGAATACAACAACTGATTAGCTGGACTTCCCTGATTCACGCCTATTTTTGCTACTGTATGTTGATACCCAATTTTTCCCTGTATATTTTTTATATGCAAAACACCTTTCAAAATAGCATATGTATGCATATATAAATGTGTCCAAATGTTTTAGTATTCTTCCTAATTTTTGAAGGATTTTTAAATCAATTTATTGCCCTATTTTAGCAATACAAAAATAAATAATTATTCCTCAAATTATCATTTTTGGTGAGTAATTTATTTTATTCTCATATTTATCCCAAAATATAGCTAAGGTACTTTTTGCACATTTTTACAAACTTATTTAGTATTTTTAAAGCTAAATTGCATATAATTGCAATATTAGCCTATTTTAAGAATTAATTGCGTTTATAATTACCAATTTGATTCCACTATTTTTAATTTAATATTTATATATTATTAATTAATTTAGTACCTTTAATTTGTTTTTAGAAATTATTTTACTATTTTTATAAGATAAAAAGAGAAAAAGTGGATATTTAAAATCTAGCCCTATTTATTTCAATTTTAGCCCAAATCGACCACCCCAATTAACCCAATTTCAATCTCAATCGGACCCTCCCAATTCCTAAACTACCCACCCATGACCCAATTTAATCCATCCCGCCCGGCTCCACAATAAATCCAGGTCGTTGATCAAAATGATCAACGACCACGATCCCTTCTTTCCTTTTTAATTTCCCAAACCCCCCAACCCTAAATCATTCTCACC